ATTCCTCGGTTGATTGCTCGTTGACCAGACTGACTTTCAACCTTCAACCGGTCCTTTTATATCTCAGATATATTTGTAAAAAGGAGGAGATTACAATGACCCATGCAAGGATAAGGATATGGTTCACCAAAAAAAATGGTAATTCATATGACAATGAACATACTCATACTCAGAAGAAAACGGTTCTATAATCTGAAAGCAACGGGAATGTTTAGATTAGTTATTTGGAGCAAAAATAATTGTTGAGATAAGAAGGATTAAAGTGCAAATTAGATTTAAGAATGTGAAAATTAACGGAAACATTACAAATGATGGAATCATTACGAAGAAATCTTTAGTATAATTATTTTGGTTTGGCTACATGGTAAATATTGGATTTAAATTAATTTTGAGAAATTTCGAGTTTGTTCTCGACAAAAATTGTTTATTGCATTAATATTTTAAAAAAAAAAATTAATTAATGAAATAATAAATGATTTCGAATAATTTCCAGAAAAAGTGTAATTCAAATAATAAATAGTAGAAAATGGAAAGTGTATTATGGTGGTGGTTGTTTACCATTTGCTAAACAGGCCTGTTCAGACTTTCAACAAATTGCACGATCAATAAATATCAGAAATGTAATTATTTCTACTTAAAATTACTTGTACTTATTATTCAGTAAAAAATTATAATTTAATATTAAATTATCATACGAAAAGTTATATCTTTTACTCTGCTAACGAAATATGTTTTAAACGTAATTTAAAGTATTTCAAATTTTAAATTTACTTCATTTTCAAATTTATTCCATAGAAACCATTTGATACTTTCTTTATTCCATACATTTCCAAATAATTTATCAAAGCATTCTGCTGCTATTTTTAAGTAAATGAAAGTAGCAGAGGGCAAGCAATTATTTATGATTAATTGATGGAAACATAAATCTTTTGATATATGCTCAAAAATTTTAGAAATTTTGTTTGTTACATTCAGACTGTTACAGATAGCAATTCCGGCTGATTATCTCACGGGACCTTGTTTACACAATGATATTGCCATTGCTACTGTTAAATTAAGAATGGTTCCAATTTATTTTTTTAATTTAATTTTTTCAATTTTTTCAAAATTATTTAAAATTTTTAGAAATTTTCTTTGAAAATATTGCGAAATTTCCGGCACCACTTGATGTTGTTGCATGCGTTGCACAACCATATGACACTATACCGGACAATTTCACTATGTACTCTCGAGGTTCTGATCGTAAGTTTTAGCTATCAAAAATTTTCATTTCGAAATTAATTAATCTAGTAATTTGCGAGTTTTAACAATTAAATTATCTTCCAGCTGGTAAATGATTTTTTCTTTTAATCGTTAAATAAATTTTTTTTCTGAAAATTTGTAAAACTTTTAGTGATTATTTTATAAATTTTTGTTTAGATTTCAAATTTTCAGAAATTTAATTATTTGTAAAATATACGAACATTTCTAACAATGTATGCGCGTGAATATATTTTTAGCAACCACAATGAGAAAAACAACAGCACTGGCAACAATAAATGTTACACGCATCGATTGTATTCTGGAAGATACAATACCGGAAGGAAAGGATGATCAGTTATGCACATCTGAATTGCACGAAAAAAATATGTGTTCGGTAAATAGGAGTGTATTTTGAAAGTTTTAGCTTTTTAAAATTTAAATTTTGGATGAAAATTTCCAAATCTTTATGAAGAATTAGAAATTTTACGATTTAAATCAAATATTCTTCAAATAGGGTGATAGCGGTTCCGGATTAATGTTCAAGACTGGAAATGGTGTATGGAATGTTGCTGGAGTTGCTTCTGCCGGAACAGACTGTCGAATTATTAATATGGCGATGAACATGAAAGATGGTATTATAAATTTCTATTTTTTTCCAAAAAAAATTTTCAATAAATTCCAATCATGTATATTCATACTAATATTCATTGAAAGATTTAACTGCGATGTATTGTCGATTTGATAGGTTTTTGTGGGATGGCAAACATTTTTCTATCATATTTTTCAGAAAAATCTTTTAAATTATAGCAAAACTTTCTTTCATCCATTTTAAATTTTAATCAATCATTATCATTATTATTGTTATCCTGGTTAATTATAAAATTGTAAGCAAAATAGATGAGGATAGGAATTAAAAACTTCAAAATAGATCTGATTATGATAATATTATAGTGGGAGGAGAGTCAATGGATGATATCAGCTTGGATGGAAGTGTTTTCATCGATTTGCGACAACACAGTGAATTTATCTGTCAATATGCTGGATTGTGTTTCAATAAAAAATCTAAAAATCAGCAAAAAATTAAGGCTATATTACTTTGAAATTGAATGAAAAATGAATAAATCTGAAGCAAGAATGTTTACATCGAGAAAAATAATGAAATTTTCTGAGGGATAACATTGAGATTTCTCATCACAAAATGAACAGTGAAATAAGGATCGATGTCCAAAATGGTTGATTTATTTCAAAAAAAAAAGAAATCGAAAGTTCACAGCACTTCAGGGAATAATACTACTACAATTGAAAGAAAATTAAAAAATCGAAGATAGAAAGAGAGAAATATTCAACCTCTTAATTTTTAATTGAATTATAAGTTTTTTTTTTTTGTGAAAAATAAATAAACGTAAATGGGATAGAATTTCTCATCGCCTCAAAGAATAAGA